ATTGCCACTGTCTGTTGTAGACAAGATAAGCATCCTATGGCCCGCTGTGTAGCGACAGATTCTTTCTGATATATATGTATATACGTGGAAAGCTCACGACTCATGAATTTGCAACTCTTCAATTCAATCATCAATCATCAGTCATGACCAAATTACCATACTAATTAACGACTAGGGCGTGTTATCTCAACAAATACATGGGCTCAATTGTTGTGCCAGAGCCAGAGATAAATCTGAAGATGGGCTTGGTTTGCACGACATTGGGCTAGCTTTAAGTTTTTTAACAGGACAAGGAGAGGAGAGGAGAGGATCACCCAACCCAACCCAACAAAAGATTTAAGATAGCATTGCAATTTGCATGTATCCTGCTGCGCATGCCCAAAAGGACTAGGTATAAGGCAGTCTATTATTCATAGAATCATAGGCCGTAATTAGGGCCATCCAGTATCTCATATACTATTACTAGTCTAATACTACCACCTCATGCACGCTGAACAATGACCTTTGGGTTTTTACATTACATACTACTATTACTAGTCTAAGACCAACTATTTTTTGGAATTATCACGTTTCACAAGTCTAGCATAACGTAATATAAAAGGGCATGCATAATATACAAGTAACTAGTAAAGTATTCTAGCATAACATAGATTATAGGGTACCAGATTAAGTTAAAATGTGTCATAACATGAGGAGAGAGATAAGAAAAGAGGGTCGGGGCATGAAAATTATTTATCTCTTAGGGCATTTTCATCGATTTGCCATGGCAAAAAATAAGGGAAACAACGGCTATTACTATTCACATGAATAGTGCTTGCCCTTGCAATTTTATTTTTTGGTTTTCCAACCATTGCCACGGCAACCTAAGGGCAACCATTATTCATATGAGATATAAAAAGATGAATTGTATAGAGTTTTAGTGTGGGAAGTGAAGAATATGGCAAGGTATTTATAAATAATTAAAAAAAATTAAATTTTTTTGGTTTTTTGGTTTTTTTTTTCTTTCAAATTTTTTGGTTATTTAAATTGGTTGCTAACGTCAGCATTAGGTCAGCTTGCCTTTGGACTTGCCCGGGCTAGTGGAGCCCAGCTCTTGCCCTAGCAAGACTTGGGCGTTGAAAACCGGATTGGGGGCCTTTTGCCTGAGTTGGGGCCTCCCGGTTGAACTGCTCTTACAATCATTAGTAGATCTGTATAAATGAAAACGTAGTCCACATATATCATTTAGGGTTATTTGTTGAAATACCCTATGTGGTTTCAAAATTGTCTCAGGTTGCCCCTTGAAGTTTATAATGACTCAACGCCCCTCTCTCTGAACTTTCATTATGCGACCAAGGTTGCCTCATTCTGTTAGTTTTCAGAGAAAATTTGTTAAATCAGCTGATGTGGAAGCAATGTGGCATTTCAACTTGGGGTATATGGTCATTTCGCATATACTCACCCATCAGTTGTATTTAGCCTGCCAATTTGCCCCAATTCTTCCCAAAATCAAAACCCTAATTTGAGACCTGCAACAAAGCAACTGGAGAACCCTAAATCGGCGTGTGCAATAACCAAATGATGTGAAATCCTAAAACCAGTCTGATCTTGTGTTAAAATAAAGATTATGAACAACTTTAAATACAAATTAATCCATTATAGATAGATAGATAGGCAGATATATATATATCTGCCTTTGATTACCAGTTAGTTTGGTTGTATGATATAAATTATACATAAAGGAAAATGGTTGAATAATAATTTATTAAAAAGCTTTTGGTGGATCAATTAATGTCTGGGTACGTACGTACATAATCTATGATACCATATATATCACAGGCACAGCAATGAAGGGTCATTTTCGTATGAGTGCATCCACAGTAGTGGAAACATTCTCTTCCTCAAATAAATGTGAGCAAACATTGATAAAAGAAAGCAGCCTCGATACATCAACAGTGGGGAATTTGGAAGTACTGCTTGAAAAAGTGAGGGATTGACTAGTAAAAAAGGAAACTTATATAAAGACACGCAATGCAGACGGATGAATAGGAAGAAACGTACCAGCAAAGTCCCCGCAGTTCGAGAAACCCCTTTGATATGTTACTTTCTTTCATGTATAAAGACAGAAAAAGAGAGAGAGAGAGAGAGAGAGAGAGAGAGAGAGCGAGAGAGAGAGAGAGAGAGAGAGAGAGAGCGAGAGAGAGAGAGAGAGAGAGAGCGAGAGAGAGAGAGAGAGAGAGAGCGAGAGAGAGAGAGAGAGAGAGAGCGAGAGAGAGAGAGAGAGAGAGAGAGAGCGAGAGAGAGAGAGAGAGAGAGAGCGAGAGAGAGAGAGAGAGAGAGAGAGAGCGAGAGAGAGAGAGAGAGAGAGAGCGAGAGAGAGAGAGAGAGAGAGAGCGAGAGAGAGAGAGAGAGAGAGAGAGCGAGAGAGAGAGAGAGAGAGAGAGCGAGAGAGAGAGAGAGAGAGAGAGCGAGAGAGAGAGAGAGAGAGAGAGAGCGAGAGAGAGAGAGAGAGAGAGAGAGCGAGAGAGAGAGAGAGAGAGAGAGAGAGAGAGAGAGAGCGAGAGAGAGAGAGAGAGAGAGAGCGAGAGAGAGAGAGAGAGAGAGAGAGAGCGAGAGAGAGAGAGAGAGAGAGAGAGCGAGAGAGAGAGAGAGAGAGAGAGAGAGCGAGAGAGAGAGAGAGAGAGAGAGCGAGAGAGAGAGAGAGAGAGAGAGCGAGAGAGAGAGAGAGAGAGAGAGAGAGCGAGAGAGAGAGAGAGAGAGAGAGGGAGAGAGATTTCAAAGGCCAAAAACCCACACCCCAATTACGCATTAGTGTTTCTGACCGACTGATCATGATGAGAGACTGATCAAATTAATATATGAAATATAAATTATATGCATGCATGAGTCATTCCAGTGGTGAATTCCAAAAATGGGAGCGTCTGTACTCTCTTTGCACTGATCACTTAGTTGTAATATATAATATATAGAGAGAGAGAGAGAGAGTAACAGTACTAGTAGACTAGTATATATATAGTTAATGTGAACAAAAATGGTAAGACTGGTATGATGCATAATTGTTGTTAGTGCAGTCCAGAGAATTTGTATTTGCTTATACTTATAGGTATATATAGCTAGAGTCGATCTCCTCTCCAGGGTACGTTGGAAGATTTGTAATTATAATATGGAAGGAGCTTTGAGTAGTTCTACTACTTACAAGGAGAAAGAAAAACAAGAGAATGTTGAAGATCATGAGATCCTCAAAAACAGAATCTCTACCCATCCCTTATATGGGCTGTTGGTTGAAGCTCACTTGGATTGTTTGAAGGTCTCTCTCTCTCTCTCTCTCTAGATCCCTCTCCCACTCCCTATGTTTGCGTGTTTGTGTGAGTGAGTGTGTGTAAATTGATTTGCAGTGAAGGTTTTTATAGCTACAATACAAGTTTGGTTAAGGCTTAAATATATGCCTTATTGGGGTGTACCTAGCTTGCTTGCACAATCTGTATATGTGCCTTCTATCTGATACAAAATAGGGCATCCATCCTCCTGCTGCCTGCATATATTCTTATTAATTACTAATTAATTAGACCGTCGTGGTCTTCTTCTTCTTCTTTCAAATCTTCATCAGGTCGGTGGAATTAGTGGTGACCTAGACCTGGAGGGAGATGTTAGCAGAGATATGAAGCAGCTTGACAACAAGTACAAGGACAGTGAAAATCGACAATCTGACCTCGATCACTTCATGGTAATTAGTTAAAATTGATCCCTCTTCACATATATTAACCTTATCCTCTCTTGTGTGCTAGCTCCATCATCGTACACACAAATTAATGCACACCAAGAGTAGAGTAGCTAGCTAGTGGTAGTACGTACTCAAGGAAGTTAATTAATACCCCAAATTAATGCACACTAAGTCTTTACAGTAACGCATGCAATTAACTGTGTAGATATAAAGACCAAGAAATATGAGCTGGAAGCATATATCTATAATTAAATATATTGCTGTCTCTGTTTTAAACAAAAATTATTAATTATTATTACTTGTCTGGTACTGGACTGGGACTGGGACTGGGACTGTAACTGGGACTTGGACTTGGACTGGGTTATGTATAATATATTATTGATGCAGGAAGCATATTGCTTGGCACTTGGGAAGCTGAAAGAAGCAATGGAGGAACCGCAGCAAACGTCGATGGCCTTCATAAGTAACATGCACCTGCAACTCAAGGAGCTAACAGGATCTCATCAACCTGAACCGGCCACCTCACTTTCCGGTCAGTCTGTTGACCATCTAAATTAAACACACCCACACCCACCACATGCATATACAAATATAATACTATAGCTAGTTAATTTCTGTTGTGAATTAATCTTGTAATATCGTAGGTGAAAGCTACAATTGATTGTGCCTGCAGTCTGCAGACGGGCAAAAGGGCAGGAGGATGCAGTGCTTTCATGGAACCTGATGAATTTTTCCAGAATATAATTTTTATATATATGGTATGATATTTGCCTCCAATCCAATCACGTTTGTGAGTTGTGACACACTCGTGCGCAACATGGCATGTAAAATTTGGTCCTTAATTTTAATTATGCGTCTATCTCAAGCTGTTTCATTTATTAGTCTGATATTTCCAGGGAATCAACCAAATTGAACGAAGCTGGTTTTGTATTCACCAACCAATCTATTTCCAATGCATTATTTTTGGGAGTTTCACTAAAACACCCAAAATGGGGGTTGAAATTATAAAAAAATCCAAGCACTATTTAAACATATAAACACACCAAAAACCCATCATTACACACACTCAAAACCCATTTATAAACACACCCAAAAAGTTGACTTTGGAGTTGATTTTGGATGTGTTTCTATGTTTAAATAGTGCTTGGATTTTTTTATAAATACATGTCTAGAATTGGGTTTATTTATAAATTTGTATTATTTTTACTAACAATAGGATTTATTTATAAATACGTCTGGACTCTGGAGGATAATATAGATTTTTCATGCTTCGTCAGAAACTGAAACCAGAAAAAAGAAAAAAAAAAAAAACTAATTAGCTTGATTGGATGGTTTGGAAAGTATATATCTTAACAACTTATTACATCAACTGAGATGTTAATACATACAGTTCATTTCTCCAAATTAAAAGAAATTTGGGCTAAACTCTACGCCAGAAAAAAGATGAACATCCCATATATTTCAATCATATGCCGGCCAATGCTTGTATGGTTGTGTAATTTAGTTGGAAACCATGCTTTCAGTCTCTTTGACGAAGCCGTCTCCTGTCCACTCCTTGTCCGATTGCAAACCTTTCCGGACAGCTTTCCTCTGTTGTATTGCTTCTTGTTGCCTTCGTACTAAATCAGTATGTGTTGTAAAATATTCAAGGGAAACCCTGCATATTCATTGAAAAGAAAAGACCGACCGAAAATATCAGTATACTCGATTTTTCACCTGAAATTATAATTCTGTTTAGACGTAACATTCATTCTGAAAAGAAATTGCTTACCCCCTGAAATCTTCTATAGATGAGAAATTGTGTAGTTTCATAAAATCCTGAAGCTCAGAACAGAGTTTTTTCACCATACCATATCCATGCATCATGACCCCAGTACAGACCTGCAAGAGCAATCACAAAATTTTATTTCTTCTACAGTCAAGTAGTATTGAGCCTCAAACTGTTTAAGCCGGTCCTGCCACTATTGGCCACGAAGTCAAATCGTGTGTGTTGAAGGTTGTAGAGTCCATTACTACACATAATTGTAGAGAGTAATATACAAAAACTACAAAAGTCAGTTTCTCAACATACCTGAACAGTATTTGCTCCAAGCAGAATAAATTCAGCAGCATCACCACCGGACTCAACACCCCCAATACCAGAAAGTGAGTAATCCTTATCACCAAACTCTGATTTCATCATTTTTGCAATATTCATCACTTTTGCAAGTGCAATAGGATGAACTGCCTTAGAAGAATAGCCTCCGGGAGTTGAGTATCTGACAGAAAATTAGGCATGTTTTCCTGAGATAAATGACAAGTCAAACTAAATAATATAATATTTCTAGTTTCAGCATGCATACCCCTCCACACAAGGTTCAGGCCGTAAGGTAGTTAGATTGATCCCCATTACACTCATGATTGTATTAATAGCGGCCACCCCCTCACATCCTGAGCTCAGAGCCACTCTAGCTGGCTACAAACAAAAGGATAAATGATACGAGGAAGATTATAATAGAACTTACTGTAAATGATAGTGATAAACATCTTGTAGCATACATCTAAAGGAAAAAGAGAAGAAATATGAAATAGTAAAGAAATGAAACTGCCGTTAATTTAGACCTGTTAATTTTGAATTTTTCTGAACAAGAACACATCTTTAAGTAATGCAAAAGTGGGAGAAGTTAAGCAAGCTGACCTGTGTGATGTCGGTGACGTTAGGAGTCATCTTAGCCCAAACAGGAATTGTAGCTTTGGCATTAATCCATCCACAGACTTCTTCCAAAAGTGCGCAGTCTTGGCCAACTGCAGCACCCATCTTGCGTTCTGGCATACCATGAGGACAGGAGAAATTGATTTCAAAGGCATCCTAAGAAAAAAGATCAGATGTTAGATGACAAATGCTGCAAGCTCCAAGCTCAAAGTAGGAAAATTGTAATAGAAACTTAGTTAATTGCTATATCTTACAACTCCAGTTTGCTCGACACGGTCAATAAGTTCCTCCCAGCCAGCTTTGTTATATTCCTCCATAATTGAAGCAATCAGAATCCTGTCTGGATACTCTTGTTTTAATTGCTTGAATTCTTTCAACATGATTTCAAGAGGTCGATCACTTATCAGTTCTATGTTCTCCCACCCAATAATTTGCCCTTTGGGTGAGCCATTTGCATCTGCTCGTAGCCTAGCATATCGAGGAGTGACATTTTTTACTTTTGCTGCGTCCAGTGACACCTATCAAAACGTAAGTTAAGATTGAATGCAAAAATTGCAACCCACATACAAGACAGAAAATGACTCAATATCCAGCAATGGAAATGGTTAAGCTACGGAAATGACCTCAAAATTCGTTTTGAAGAATTAAGGTCTGCAACAAAGTTCAGAAAATGGGCTTTCCCCAAAATCAATGAATCTGAAGATGTTCAACATTATTGTCAATTGATTTTAAGTCATTCAGGTAGAATGGCACTAGCTACACAAAATCAAAGATATCAAAAGCAGTACCTTTGCTAAACAAATTCTGGATTTTCACATACTTTCTTCCAAATTTCTCAGTAACCAACCAAACAGATGAATAAGCTACCATCAATCAGCAGCACTAGCTCACAATTTTATAATTCAAACTGAGGATCCGAACACAGAAATAAAAGAAGAGCAAGACTTACAGTTTTGGCAATCACAGCACCCCACCCTTCATCAAACGCCCTCTTCATGACCGTATAGTTTGTACCAGGTGGACCGGAGCCAATAACAAAGGGATTGGGCATGTGCAAACCATTAACAGTAACACTAAGATCAGGCTCGGCCTTGGTCTCAGACTCAGAGGCAAACACCCTAAACCCAACTCTGTAAGGCCGAGTCAAACCCAACTCTGGACGAGTCCTGGAAAATTCAGCAACTGGGTTCTTGCCTCTGATCTGAGTAAAACTGAGAGACGCCATGGATCAAGAATTTTCAGCTAACTCTTGTGCAAGTAGTCTCGAGGTGTGAAAAACAAGACCGAGAAGAAGAAGATGATGATGATGATCAAGATTGAATCCGAGTTAAAAATATTCAGTGGGCTCTATGAGAACGTGGAGTTATAGGAATCAATTGCGTCTTCTAGCATTTGGTTGAATTTGATGGTGCAAAGTTTGAATATTTTAATGCCCAAAGATTAGATTAGAGGGACTGCATGTTGATGGCGACAGATGGGATTGGCAGAAGATAGATTAACTTCATTTTTTACCATTTTCGTTTGTTAACTCAGTCGCCCAATGCTCCCTGACCCTGCGCGGCTGTGCCAAATAAAAGGATTCTACAACCAAAATTACCAAATCAATTACATATTAAAAAATTAAATTAAATCCAAATCTTTATTAACTAAAATTAGGAATTTTTATCATTTTATCCTGCCACCTATAAATCCTTTTTTCTTTTCAATTACGTGAGGGCCAAAACTAAACAAAGTAAAAGGTTGCAGTTTGTACTGGACATCTTGCATGAGCTTTTGTTTTTTTCGGTCATGAGCAGCGACGCGTCAATGCGACTGTACGAGTAAGAAACTCACGTGGCTTGCAAAATCTGACGAATTTTATCCTTCTTCTGGGCACTGAGGAGGAGGACAGCTAACGCCCAACAAGTGTGAATTGAATTACAAGAATTTCAAGGCCCAAAAACAAAACAGTTTCTAAGGCTTCGTAATGCAGCTGGGCTAACTTAATTGCTCTCAAACATAAAAAGGTCCAGTCCATGTAATTGATTGGGTCAAATTCACTATGCCCATTAAAAATGTGTTGGATAGTCTCTTTCTTTTTCTTTTTTATTATCGAGGATCCATTCTTTTCTTTTTTGGAGGTTTGCTACCCAACTTTTGTGATTGGGGGACTTACTAACCGAACGGTAAGGGGCGTGTTTTGTGCGACTTCACCCACTATGCCTCATTTAAGAAGGTTTCAATTAAATAATTAATCACTTTAATGTCCAATTTAATTACAAGCTCACATTATTATACTCGGCCTTTTTTTTTTTCCTGCTCTTTTTCATGTGTCTAATAAAATTGATATTCGAACTTCGATGTCAGTGATTATTCTGAACAACTGACATCACCACATATGTAATGAATTTTACTTTTTCAGAAAGAAAGTTGAAATGAATAACATTAGAAGTTAAGGTATTTAGATGATGACATGAAACATGATTGATGGCCCCTCAAGACTAAAGTTGGGGTGTATCGTGAGACAAAGGGCGTTGCGGGTTCATGCACGGGCAACAGGACAAGCTTTGATTTTGACATGTATTTCTCAACTTTGTAGGAAGTTTATTTACCGACTCGTCATATTTTTCTATTTTTATTTCTAGGATCGAAGCTGTCGCGAAGCAGCGCACCCAACTTTCGTGCCATGATGATAGCACACACTTGCGCCAAATTTGTTATCCACCGGATTAGGTTGGCGGGGCAGCCAATCATATAATAATATATTTATGTATAAATATGGACCACCAGATCAGCTTCCAGCTGGAAAAAAACAACAAAAATCATTGAACGGCTAGGATCGTTTCCCAAAAGATATTCATCTGTGATGTCACATGTATCTGCTTAGAGACGCTTGAACGGGGCATATTCTCTCCATTTATTTTTATATAGCAACTTGGAACTTTGCCACTTGCCAGTGGAGGGCTACCTAGAAACCAACCTCATAAGATATTCATCCAGATTGGATAACAACAAACAATAAGTAAGCACGTTGGTTGGACATTATCATTGTTTAATCTCAATCTTTGTTGTTGGATTTAGGGGTGAATTGTTAGCAGCAGGATCTATTTATTTCTTGCACGCTTTAGCCAAGCTCTTAATTAATTAGGGAAAAATATAAGAAGAAGAATTGGGGGGTAACGAAAAGATGGCATATTTTTTTAAAATTAATATATATAATTTATTCGGAAGGGAATTTGAAGTTGGGATGAAGGGGCAAGTCCACTCTTTTGATCAATTATGGAGATGGGGATTCGAAGTTGGAGACGTAAGGCGAATTCATAACCATTGACCAACTGATCTAACCTACATATGCAAAATTGACCAAATTTTAAGTATTTAAGTTTCTAATTGAACTCTCTCTCTCTCTCTCTGCTAATTCCTACTATCTTCCTATATGGATCCAAATTGACTAGTCTAGTCTTGTACACTAGCTAAGCCTTTTTTTTGGTCTGAGTACACTAGCTAAGCTAGTATGGTTGATCAATTACGTACAACCTCTTTCTTCCTATATGTCATAATCAAAACATACTTGTAATAATCCTCGTGGTCTTTTCCTCGTCAATTTCAACTTGAGTATATGCAACAAGTCCGACTTTTCTTTTCTACACACTTGGAAAGTCAGTTAATTAATTTGCCGATGTTCAAGAGCCATAATTAATCAAAGGAATCAGAGTACATTTGATTTCGATTCTCTTAAATGGAGTTTAATCAACAGATAAAGATTGTGAGGAATTAATTAACTTGATAAAGAAAGAATCCGAATTCGATTCTGGCCCAGTATATACATACAACTCAGAAACCTACAACGGTAACTAGTGTCCAAAAATATTCAGTGCCAAACCCGGCGACCCGACTCCTAATTACAGGCGGATCCACTCGCACGGATATTCGACACTGGACAATTGAACAACCCATCATCAAAAAACGGATATACTCGGATCTTTACAGACGAACGGGTGGGTCAAAAGCTGAGCAGCGGTCCACCGTTTTCCGGACTCCTTCTGCAAGCAACACTCCATGAAACTCCTGAACTCCTCCGACACCCCATCGGGCAAGCTCGGCGGCTCTCCGAAACATATGGCGCACATAAGGGTGGCCCAGTCGGGTCTCTGACCCGGAGGCAAGAACGGAAAGTGACCCATGTAAAGCTCCATCAGGGTCAGCCCCAGGCTCCATATATCACTGGCGTAGCCGTTGTAATTGCCACCGTAAGTGTCCGGGTCGAATCTTTCCGGGCTCATGTAAGCGCAAGTACCCACGTAGGAATTGCAGGCGTCCAAGGTCCGGCACATGATCTTGCTCACGCCAAAGTCGGCGATCTTCACTTCCATGTTGCTGTTGACCAAAAGATTGGTGGGTTTAATGTCGCGGTGGATGATCTTGTGGGTGTGGAGGTAGTTGAGGCCGTTGAGAACTTGGCGGGCGACGTGGGCAAGCTTGGGCTCGGAGAAGGTGCCGTGGGCTTTAAGCAAGGTCTCGAGGGTGCCGGAGTCCATGTACTCCATGACGATCCCGATATCTCCCGACGGCTTCTCAAAGATTGCGTGGCAGCGGACCACGTAGGGAGAGTCCGTGCGGCGGAGGATCTCCATCTCGCGGAAGATCTGACGGCGGACGGTGGGGTCGGAGTCGCCGTAGACGAGTTTGAGAGCGTAAGTGGTGGAAGTGCGCTTGTGGCGTACCTTGTAGACGGTGCCGCCGTTACCGTGGCCGAGCACTTGGAGTGTGTCGAGATCGGCGGCGGAGATAGCGGCGGAGGAAGAGTTGTTTGTGAGGGCGGTGGTGGCGGCGGCTGTGGGAGGAAGGGGAAGGGCGAAACGTGGGCGGCACTCGGAGGGTTCGGGCAAGGGTAGGCGGAGATTAAGCTGTCGGCGTTCTCGTATGAGAGCCATTTGTTTTGGGGGTTTGTGGGTGGTGTTGGTGTGGAGTCGAGTACTTAGTTTTTGTTTTCCTTTTTCCTTATATAAGTAAGAAGTGAGAAAAAAAGCACGTGCGGACCAAAGCAGCCGGCGTAGGAGGCTTCATGGATAGAGAGGAAGGATATGGGATCCAATTTTTAAATATTTTTATTTTGTTTTATAAGAGGATGTGGGCTCCATTGCTGTATATACAACTATAGATCTTTTAGGGATGGTGTGGTGTCCAAGTTTTTAGTGCTACTTGTTTATGTGAGTTTATCCACACGTGATTTAAAGGGCAAGTGGCTAGCCTGCCACCTCATTTTAAAACAAACCAAGCAACGAACCACTCATAAAAAAAGACAAGCTAATTCTTAATTTGGTATATTTATCTTCCTAGATAGAAAATTAGATTCGTGTCAATGGCGGGTATTATTGTTTTTTCAATAAGAGCTACAGGCCAACTTTAAAAAAAAAAAAAAAAAACAATTACAATCCACCCGCCATAGCTATGGTCAGAAAAACTATAAAGTTAGGTACGTTTTGAAGACTATTCGTCATGTACAGCGCCAAATCACCCTCTATGATATCAAGATTCCAATATGCGTGAATAAATTATTAACAGATCACTCTCTTTTATAATGATTGAGTCACATAGTTAATAATAAAATTAAAAATGGAGCTCAATTAAATTAATTTTGTTTAGGGTTCGGAAATTTGAGAGCTGATGTAGATCATGGATACATTAAGCTTGTTTAGGTTAAACAAAAATTAGTTTGCTGTAAGATTAGGAAGTTGGCTCATCAAGTTGCAATTGGTGTGTGCATTGAACTTGGTTTAATCACTGTACCTGAGGTGGCCCTGTGCTGTGCCCCTATGTCTTAATCAACGTCCTTGTTGCGTTTCCTAACTTTTAATATAAAAAAACAGTTATTTTTTTTGTTTGTTTGTTTGATTTGATGTTTTAATTTTTTTGATATTATTTGTAGAATTGTAAGATTATAAGTATACGCTCATAACATATTTGAAGTGAGTAATTAAAATGATTAAAATAATATGAGTAAGTACATATTCAAATGTGAATTTCAATTTAAAACGTTAAAAACGTAATAGATTATTATCCATCACATAATCACATTGGTGGATTGATAGCGAGACGAGGATGGCTATTTTATTGTATTTATATATGAAAAAAAGATTCCAAATTGGCTATTATCATCTAAAATATTGATGACAATATTCAGTGCATGAAAGCAACGTCATCATCAACAATAATAATATCATGCTTGACAGTAGCGAGCTCAGACGGAAGCCCTCTCCCTCTCCCTCTCCCTATGGGCAGCAAGTTGCACGTAACATCAGCAGCAGTCCATGAAAAAGTTTGATTTATTTATTTGGTAAATAACTGTGTGAGCTGTTGCTTGCTTCGCCCTCTACTTCCCTATCAATGTTCGGCCGTCCCAAATCGTATTCAGTGGCGCCCCCACACATCGACTGCTTATGTCAATTAAGTCCACATTGCCATTGTCTTCTTTTATTGGTTCATAATAACTATGTAAAGCCCAAAGGGTCAAGTATGTTTTGACTACTGAAGCCCAAACGCTTAACACCCAAAGTGTAGAGTAGACGGGGGGAGGCCTCAGGAGGCCAACCAAACTCGAAAGATAAGATAGGCCCAAACTTATTTGCAGGTAGGTTGGGTGTTATTAGGATTTGGAACAGAAACGTGTGATTTGTTTGAGTTTGGTGAATGAATGGGGAAGCTCTGAAACTAGTAAGTTAGTAATAGTAACTATAACCTGATGATGATTAAGTTAGTTATCCATTCACAGTTATAAAAGTTTGAAGAAACACAAGACAAGACTATTTATAGATAGGCAAGATCAGTTTCTAGTTATTCTAGGTTGTAACTTCACGTTTCTAGTTAGCATCTTGTTACTAAGAGGTTTAATTATCCCCAACACAACAGTAATCTCTCTCGAGTTTTCTCAGAATATTATTAAAGCAAAACAAGGAAAAAGGTCAAAGATCTCCTCTTCTGCAGTTTTTCTTCAAAAACTAGATTGCGTTAGGTGGTGTCCCATCCTCCGTCTGAATAAAAGCTCAGTATAAATTCCATGTCCACTCCCCTCCCTTGTAAGTTGTATATGCATTCTTTTTCGTTATGATCAGATCGATACGTCTTCAACTTTAATTTGCAAGCATCTTACTTACACATGTACAAACAAAAAATCACCACCCATAGATGCAGCAGATAATTGGACGGGGAAGATTAATTGGATGTTCTAAAACATTTGGATACCTTAAACAGTACCTGAGTGAACCGAATTCAACCAAGGGAAGCTTTTCTTATCTAAAAAGTACCATTGCCTGGATTCTTTTTGTCACCACAAATTAAGTTACTGTTTTTGCATTAATTCCGATAGTAAATACCGCATTGGCATTAATTACATGTTGCCCCTCCCTCCTTTCACTTTCTTCTCTTTCTTGACACATATAGATATAGCTAGCTAATAAAGTATAGGTGTTGGACAGGACATTATATTATTGGTTTCATTTGAAAAATTGAGAGAGAGAGAGAGAGAGAGAGAGAGAGAGAGGGAGAGTGAGGGGTGAAAAATGCATGGAGCTGAGAGAAGAAGATCAACATCATCAGGAGGAGGAGGTGATCATCATCATCAGGATAATCATGATGATGAGTATGATGAAGATGGAGAGTCGACGTTTGAGGTTGAGGATGAGGAGGTGCTTTCAACAACACCCTGGTGGTGGTGGTGGACAAGGCGTTTCACTTTCAGCAATACCGACTCCAGTCTTACAATTACTGGTTCTAGATCATCTGCTGCATCTTCCTTTTTCGATCGTCTCGTCATTCATCCTGATAACTGGTAGTATGGTACTTTCAATTTCTGTCTGTTAGCTAGTTTAAATTTCTGTGCATGAAACACCATGGTCCATGGTGTTGTCCTTTGCCTCGGATGCAGCCATAATTCTAAAATGTGGTCTGCAATTAATCCTGAGAAACCTACTTATTTATCATTATGAAATTAAGTAATATTCTATATTCTACACACGGGAGGAGTAGTGGTGTAAGTTAGAGGAAATTGAACATAAGATTTTGGGTGCTTAGTAGACGTTTTCAGTCACTTAAATTACAAGTTCTTTGCATGTAATTCGCTTGATTAGATCACAAAAATCTCCATTTTATTGATGAACGATATACTTAGTAAGCATTAACATTAACATTAACATTAACATTAACATTTTGTTGTAAAACAACGTAAGGACAATACTACTCTCTTGAAATTTGTAGGCCAAAGTAGAAACCTTTCACAATAATATTTTGTTCTCTCTCTCTCTTCATACATTTGGGTGAAAAAGAAAAGGAGAAATCACGGAATTCATGACTTTCTATAGAACTTACAAGAAAAAGTTTTCGATGTACATAAGGGAGAGAAAAAAAAAGAAGACACGAAAGGAAAAAGGAACTTTAAGTTGGGCCGGTTCGGTTCAGGTCCAAAGTTGTAGTACGTATAGTCCAAAATTGGGCTTAGGCGTCATATTTTAGGATGAAAGAAGTAAGGATAGGGCCCACTCCATATTTTGGCGCGAATACATAGCCCGTAAATACAAGCTCGTCCGCTCTAGGCTAGCTTCAGGCCTCTGTGTACGGTTGTGATGTGTGGTTTAAATGAGGCAAAAACTGTGTAGATCAAGTGAGTAAGTTGTATGGTGGAATTGGAAATGCAGGTGGTACGTGGCGTGGACGCATTTCATTCTAATATGGGCAGTCTACTCGTCCTTCTTCACCCCCTTGGAGTTCGGCTTCTTCAGAGGTCTGCCGGAAAACCTCTTCCTGCTCGACATCGCAGGCCAGCTCGCCTTTCTCATCGACATCGTCGTCCGCTTCTTCGTCGCCTACCGCGACTTCCACTCCCACCGACTTGTCTACAATCGCAACCTCATCGCCATCCGCTACTTAAAGTCTCGCTTCCTCCTCGATTTACTGGGTTGTCTGCCTTGGGACGCCATCTACAAGGTAAGCTAGGGCTACAATTAATTAACTTCAATTTCAAATATTAAATTGATTTAATAAATGATATCTTATCTTAATTGCATTGCAGGCTTCTGGAAGAGAAGAGGGTGTGAGGTACCTGTTGTGGATACGTCTGAGCCGAGCATGCCGAGTGACAGAGTTTTTTGAGAAGCTGGAGAAAGATATAAGGATCAACTACCTTTTCACAAGAATTGCCAAGCTTTTTGTTGTGGAACTTTACAGCACACATACGGCTGCCTGCTTCTTTTATTATCTGGCCACAACCATGCCTCCCTCCCAGGAGGGATACACTTGGATTGGAAGCTTGAAGATGGGTGACTATAGCTATTCCCATTTCCGAGAGATTGACCTCTGGAAGCGTTACATCACCTCACTCTATTTTGCCGTTGTTACCATGGCCACTGTTGGTAATTAATCAATTAATTAAGCTTCTTAATTCATTTCTTATTATATATCCCTGATTTATTTTCAAGATGGGTCATAAATGGGTATGCTTTTTCCTTTTTTGTTTTCCAGGATATGGAGAGATACATGCAGTGAACGTGAGGGAGATGATATTCATCATGTTTTATGTGTCTTTTGACATGATTCTTGGTGCTTATTTGCTGGGTAACATCGCTGCATTGATTGTGAAAGGATCGAAAACAGAAAAGTTTAGGGACAAGATGACTGAACTAATTAAATACATGAACAAAAACAGGCTTGACAGGGGCATAAGTAAGGAAATTAAAAACCATCTCAGATTACAGTATGACCGTAGCTACACCGAAGCCACTGTTCTTCAGGACATTCCAGCCTCTATTCGCAGCAAGGTAGTTGTTTAAATTCAGGCTGAAAACTATGGATTTGGAATTTAATCAAATAATATTTTCTTATTCTTGGTTTTCTTTTTTTCTTCTTATTTGACACATTTTGTTCTTAGCCTATGATGCCTTGTCTTCCAGACTCTGCATAATTTTATTTGTACTATAAGAGAACAAGCTTGTTGAATGGTTTTGCTTCATTTGGTGAACTATGAAAACAAGAATGTCATCTTAGAAGCTGACCTTCTACAGTCTTGTCTTTAAAGTATTAATATAAAGATAACCAACATATGAGTTTATTGGTGGCCAAGTAG